TAGTTTCTGATGTGCTCTGTGTTACAGTGATACAGGCTCAGAATGGCTGGAGAGTGACTTACACCTCTACTCAGATCTGTGCCTTAAAAGGATCAACAGTGGAAATAAACTGCACCTACACATACCCATCCAGAATAAATGGCCGTGATACTACAGTTGAGGAAACATTCTGGTTTACTCAGATGAATGGAGATGTACCTGTGGATCTGAGAACAGACTCAGAGAACGCAGGTCGTTTGCAGTACAGTTGTTCTAACAACATCTGCACTCTGAGAATCACAGACCTGAGAGAGAGCGACTCAGCTGAGTACAAGTTCAGGTTCATAACAAACCAACCAGGTGGAAGATTTACTGGTTCACCTGGAGTCACTTTGTCTGTCACAGGTAACATTTGTGTTAGAAACCATGTAAGTTAGCTGTTAATCTACTGTTAATCTCAGTGTGCCAATTATCATATGTGGAAATTGACAGTTCAGTTATTATACAGTGGTACGGAAAGTATTCAGACCCCTTTAAATTCAAGAAACTATTCAGACCCCTTTAAATTTAAGAAATTTAAGAATACTTATGACCATGTGATATTTCAGTTTTTCTTTTTTAATAAATTTGCAAAAATTTCTACATTTCTGTTTTTTTCTGTCAAGATGGGGTGCTGAGTGTACATTACTGAGAAATAAAATTAACTTTTTTGATTTTTGGAAAATGGCTGCAATGAAACAAAGAGTGAAAAATTTAAAGGGGTCTGAATACTTTCCGTACCCACTGTATTTGTTTTATATCTTTACAAATACAGGTTTCCAGGTGCACATGAGCAGCTCACAATCATGCATGTTTTACACATGTACATGGTCACAGCTGAAGTGTCTCAGCAGCTGTCGTCTACCTGATCAAACCTCCTACATCTGGTACAAGAATGGACAGAAAATTAAGGAAGCATCTTCTTATTCAGACTACTTTTATCCTGCAGACAGCTATTCATGTGCCCTTAAAGGACATGAGGAATTTCCTTCTCCATCAGTGTGTGAGTTTACTCCACAATCTTCTACTAATGAGACTAATGTTCTGTACCATCACCAGTGTTGGGCTGAAATTGTAAATGTACTAGTTACTTATTACTCCTTAAAAAGTAATACTTTACTTATTACTGGGTGATAAAAGTAACTAGTTACGTTACTCGTTACGTTACTCTATATCTTTCACTCCTGACTTTTGAACTACTGTTTTTCTGTGCACACATTTATTAGAGCACTATTAAGTTATTTTACAAAACACAACGTTGCTTAACGCCACTCCCCACGAGTGGATGCATCACTGGCGACCAGAGTTTATTTCTATAGGCTAAGTTTCATGTTGCTGTGCTGTTCAGCTGATGCTTCAATAGGTTAGATGTGGAATTGTTTTGCTGGTCGCACAAAGTTTACAACGCACGACAATGTTCTTTGCATCTTATTCTGTGATACAATAATGGGAGTACTTACTGCTGTAGGAACAACGCCTCTCTCCCTTTTCTTCATTCTATCTTCAGCTTCTTGGCTGAATAGCTGACTTGAACACATCGATGCGTTCAGGAACACAGTAACGCAGCGTTATTTGGATTAGTAACTGGAAATCGTAATCCGTTACACTACTAGTTACTGGGAAAAGCAACAATATTAGAGTAACGCGTTACTGCCCAACACTGACCATGACTTCATGTATCTTTTATGATGAGCAACCCCATCCACAGCAATACAACTAGCTGTGAATTACTGCAGTAAAGACCATAGTTTTTGTAATAATAATAAAATTATTATTATATTTCTCAGGTGGCCACGGTCATTCATGCAACAGAGTGACTTACACTGACAGAAGCATCTGTGCCTTCAAAGGCTCATCAGTGGACATTTCTTGTACTTACAACAGTTATGAAACTATCAGATCTAAATTCTGGTTCAGTCCTGAACGTAGTCTTCAGTGGCAGAATCCCTCACAGCCTGAGGACCTTAGTGAAGACTCCCAGTATGCAGGTCGTGTTCAGGTCCTTGAAACAGAGAGAGGACGCTCCACTCTGAGAATCACTGACCTGAGAGAGAGCGACTCAGCTGAGTATCACTTCAAATTCACAGCAGGAAGCTTTGAATGGAGGAGTAGTTTACCTGGTACAACTCTGACTGTCACAGGTACTGATGAACACAAACTGTAACAGCACATTTAAACTATCTGATGACAAGTGAACGTGCTGAATAGTGATTCTAATGGGAAATAATGTTTGTGTGATTAATTGATTACATGATTGTTATAATGTTCTATTGTTTACATCTCTGTGTATGTTGTGATTCAGCAGCACATAAAGACAAATATTTCTGTTTTTTCTTCCCAGATCTCCAGGTGCAGGTGATCAGATCAACAGTCTACCAGAATTATACTGAGGCAGAGCTGCTTTGTCACAGCAGCTGTCGTCTTCCTGATCGTTCTTCCTACGTCTGGTTCAAGAACGGACAGAAAATGGAAAGGGTGGAGACATCTTCTTATAAAGATCAGTTTTATCCTGGAGACATCATCTCCTGTGCTGTAAAAGGACATGAGGATTTCCGCTCTCCTTCAGTGTGTGAGTTTACTCCACTGTGTCGGGAAAACAGCACACATACACTGAAATTACAATACAAATTACAATTTCAGACATATTGGAGTCTTCTAGATCTTAATGTGGATGCAGCATCATTATTTAGAGAAAGGAAAAAAATACTAGCAGTAGACGAGCAACATTCATGTTGTGACATAACAAATTATTTCCTATTACATGATTTTTTTGTGATTCAGGAATATTTAAAGTATAATATCTGTTGTTGCCGCATTTAATGTTTTAGTTGTTATAATGTTTCTGTTACTGAGATGCTAGATGTTACTTCTATTGATGATGTCATGATCAGTAGCTTTCAGCTGGAGTTTATTTTACAGTTTTTGACTGAGACAGAATGGATATTGTTAGTCTTGTTAAATGTTAAAATGGAGTTACGAGTTTCTGAAGATTTATTCCTGACAGTGTTAAGCAGGCATAAGCAGCCTCTCTGTGTTCTGGGACCTCCTGATTTACAGAATAAGTTAGGTTTTTGCAAACTTGTCTGGGGTCTTAAATGTGTGTAAAGTCAGCACTAATGTTGTCTGTTGGGTCATAGAGTTACAGCAAAGTCACTTTAAGACTCAGAAAGTCTAAAGAAATATTCTGCTTTTAGATGGACATACACATTATTTTGGTTGTGGTGAGAGAGTAAGGTCAGACTGATGTTACCTGTCCACAGCAATATTCAATGAGAATAATGTTAGAAATTGATGTGGATTCTTTCCCATCTTCATACCTATTATTTTTTTTTTATAACTACTCTGCTTGGTTGCCTTTTGGGTGACAGTACAGAGAGAGAGAGGAGGATAGAGAGAGAGAGAGAGAGGAGAGAGAGCAGGGTGTAGTCATCACAGAGAGAGAGACAGACAGACATATAGTGAAGTCAAGATTGATGGGCTGCATGTCACATTCTCATTAGGAGCTGAGCCCTCCTAAACGTCTGATGCTAGAATCGCACCTGGTCAATCTTCTCTGATTACATATTCTAATCTTTAAGTAATTCATGTTCATCTCTTCTCCAGATGCTCCAAAGCTTCCCTCTGTGTCAGTGAGTCCCTCTGCTGAGATAGTGGAGGGCAGTTCAGTGACTCTGACCTGCAGCAGTGATGCTAACCCAGCAGCTAAATACACCTGGTACAAGGAGAACCAAACTCTGCTCAGTGAAGAACCACAGCTTGTCTTCAGCTCCATCCAGTCCTCTGACTCTGGAGAGTATTACTGTGCAGCTGAGAACCAGCTGGGGAGGAGGACATCTGAATACATCATTAATGTGAAATGTGATTTAAAATTTAAAAATAGCAAACATCTTAAATCTGTCCAGTCTTTGCAGGAGAAGATTAGAGTTATATGCAGTTTTTGGATTCAAATCGTCACACATCCATTCATCAGACCACCATCAAAGTCTAAAATGATGCTGCACACAGCTGTTCCCAGTTTATAATAAATACCAGATGTGCTACTGTAGTAACACACCCTTAACCTAGAATAATCCTAACACATCTCCTCCAGATGCTCCAAAGACCTCCTCTGTGTCAGTGAGTGGTAAAATCATGGAGGGCAGTTCAGTCCTGTGCAGTGTTGTCAACGTAGAAGAGAGGCTGAACACATTATTAGCAGGAGGAACACAGAAACAGCAGCTGGAGCAAGACTCAGGAACATCTATCATCAGGGCTTCTCATCCTCTTTTGAGTTGAATTTGAATTAATTTTGTGATTCATGTGGGAAGACACCAAGTTTCTTCACAGAAAAGGATCATGAAGACGACACCTGTGACCAAGTTTAACGTACAGGTCTATTATTGTTTATTATAGCCTGCTAGCTAGCTTTGTAGGGGGGACAAGAGCCTTACTCATGAAGCAGGATAACAAAGTAACAACTGGGACATCAGAATAATAAATCAAATGAATCACTAAATAATAACTTGTATTGCTCCTCCTAGCTCGTGGCACCCCATGCCTAAAAACAGGCCTGTAAACAAATATTGATAAGTTGTCTCTCTTTTGTCCCCCAGATGCTCCAAAGCTTCCCTCTGTGTCAGTGAGTCCCTCTGCTGAGATAGTGGAGGGCAGTTCAGTGACTCTGACCTGCAGCAGTGATGCTAACCCAGCAGCTAAATACACCTGGTACAAGGAGAATGAAGACTCACCAAAAGCATCAGGACAGAACTTCACCATCACTGACTTCAGAGCTGAACACAGTGGGAATTATTACTGTGAAGCCCAGAACAGAAGAGGACGTCATAACTCCACCTTACATCTGATTGTTGTAGCAGGTACGTTTCTCCATGACACTACTTGGCTGATTAACAGAAGAGCATCACACATCACAAACTGATTCATGAATCAACTCTACTAGTGAGGTCCAGCACAGTTTATCTAATAACTGTCCATATCCATTTCTAGGGAAATCTACAATGATAATAAATATCATCAGGTTGACTCTGGTGGTTGTGATGCTGATTCCTCTGCTTCTGGTTTGTCTGTGGATGAGGTGAAACTATAAGAATAAATTAGTTCCATCACTGATCTTTCAATATTGACTTTCATAGTTTTGGAGTTATTGACTTTTTATTTATTTGTTTTTGGATTCAATTTAGAAAGAAGAAAACTCTGAGCTCCACCACTGAACCAAATGAACCCATAGAGACATTAGAGGTGAGAAATCTGTTGGGCCACAGTGACAGAACTTCCTCTACCAAAGAGTTATAATTTGTTGCCTTATACATTCATTTTAATTTAAAAACAAATTGTTCTAATTCCATTTATGAGGCCTTTGCCTCTCCCTCTCCCCATCAGTTGGAGTCTGATCCTGATTGTAGCAACGCCTCAGCCTTGAACCAAAACTGTAACCAGAGGGACTCACCTGGATGGAAACAGAGAGAAGTACAGCATTGAAGTAGTCAGTGGAGAACAGGGGGCTGTGGAGGATGAGGATACATTTACCTTTAACTGCAAACATTTTCATTTTTAGTTTTCATTAGCAGCAGCAGGTAGACGTCAGCAGCAGCATGTAGCACAAGATTAGAGTAGAATGTAAGCGTCATTGTTACCTGTGCAGGTACATTACATAAGTTCAGGATTTTACTCAGTATACAAAATGTTATTTCAAAATGGAATGTAATAAATTGCTTTTAAGAAACACTGTTTGTCCTTTCACATCACACCTGTTCTGGTAATGAAAGCCAATAACGTCTGATCAAAACAAACATGTAGAACTGGAAGCTAAGTATTTGACAGCATGTACAGTCTATGTTTAAACACTGAAATCAAACAGAAGCCCAGCTCTGTCACACTTTGCTAGTTGTATCATTTTCAATGTGTTGCAGTGACTGATTGAAATAAACAGCCAGCTTCCACAACAACTCTGCAGTTTGATCATCATTTCAGTTTCCTCTCACTGCTGCAGAGGGCGACAGTGTGCAGAAAGGTTTGAATTTTAGCTTTAAACAAACTCTTTGTGTTTATTATTCAGAATTATTTTTGTATTTACCCAAATAGACCAATTATTATTATTATTTATTAGAAGACACCAGGAACAAGAGCATATAGAGCGTGTTGGAGAGGTGACTGATGGTGCATTCATGAATAATTAAATTTTTTCCCTCCCTTATATCTTTATTGCAAAAAGAGAAATAAAATGTACATGGGACATAAAGAAGTATACAAAACTTTAATTTGTAGAAAATCATGTATTATATATATTAGGGCTGTTCCCGACTAAGGATTTACACAGTCGAATCAGAATTGTTAAGTCTTGCCTATAGTCAACTGACAGTCGAATCATATGACTGCAGTCTCTATTTCTTACTCACTGTTACTTACACTGTACATTTACAGCTGAACTGAGGCTTATTGTTGACCCTTTTCTCTCTGCTCGCCTGCCATTCACCGGTCTTGTGCCGAGTTTTGTGTGCACGCGTGTCTGACAACTAACTGCACGTTGCGGTTTAAAAACGATATAATATTCTTTGTGAGGTTCATCAATGGTGATAAATGATCCAAACGTCCTGCGAGGTACAGACAGCTCGGCACAACACCGACGAAGCTGGTGCTCCGTCAATGCAGCAGGTGTTCCTCTGCCACTACACACACACACACACACATTACGCCCACACATGTGTGCTTCCTTAAGGGTTAGGGTTAAAATTTTGGATTTATTCACGCACTTTAAAAACATTTATGAAATGCGTCACATGTTTATTTACAGCATTATATGTTGAAGTGTATATTGTAATAGGCAGCATGTTAACTTATTGGGAGAAAACTGGTAGTTCTATTTCAGTCTGATCTGAATAGAATTGAGGACCCCCATATCACCAAAATGGTATGGTCCTCTTTTCATAACGCTGTTTCGAAGCTTCGACTGTGAGACTGACAGTCGATTCAGGCTCCTCACATCGAAGTATCGAATCTTCGACTATTCGGGGTCAGCCCTGGTCTATACATAGTTTGCAAACATGTAATTTGTAATATGGTTATAAGGGTTAGTTTGCTGTCCATGTAGAGTGAACTAGATGTCTGCGTGTTGTTTATATGCTCTGATGATGCTAATCCAACACATCTTTGTAGTAGCATCCATGTTGATTCCACATTCAGACTTCAGAGCACATGAACACACTGAAGTTGGAAGAACTACTTCACAACATGTCTTTGGATGGTGGGAGGAAGCCAGAGCACCCGGAGTGTTGAGCCAGTCTAAAGTCTAAATTGTCTCAAGCTTTAAAAGGTGAATCATGAAGAACTCTTTGTGACAGCGACTGCATTGAATTAGATTCTGGGCTTTTTGCAGCTGGTCAAGGTTACCTTTCTACAACCACCTTCACACATCTGCCTGTCACAAGTCTGTCTCCTGGTGTTGTTGAGTCTGACTGTAGTTTCTGATGTGCTCTGTGTTACAGTGATACAGTCTCAGAATGGCTGGAGAGTGACTTACACCTCTACTCAGATCTGTGCCTTAAAAGGATCAACAGTGGAAATAAACTGCACCTACACATACCCATCCAGAATAAATGACCGTGATACTACAGTTGAGGAAACATTCTGGTTTACTCAGATGAATGGAGATGTACCTGTGGATCTGAGAACAGACTCAGAGTACGCAGGTCGTTTGCAGAACAGTTGTTCTAACAACATCTGCACTCTGAGAATCACAGACCTGAGAGAGAGCGACTCAGCTGAGTACAAGTTCATGTTCATAACAAACCAACCAGGTGGAAGATTTACTGGTTCACCTGGAGTCACTTTGTCTGTCACAGGTAACATTTGTGTACGTTGGCTGTTGGCTGTGTGCCAATTATCATACGTGGAAATTGACAGTTCAGTTATTATATTTGTTTTATATCTTTACAAATACAGGTTTCCAGGTGCAGATGAGCAGCTCACAATCATGCATGTTTTACACGTGTACATGGTCACAGCTGAAGTGTCTCAGCAGCTGTCGTCTTCCTGATCGTTCTTCCTACGTCTGGTTCAAGAATGGACAGAAAATGGAAAGGGTGGAGACATCTTCTTATAAAGATCAGTTTTATCCTGGAGACATCATCTCCTGTGCTGTATAAGGACATGAGGATTTCCGCTCTCCTTCAGTGTGTGAGTTTACTCCACTGTGTCAGGAAAAAAACATGCTTATGCACAATACTCTTATAATTTCAGACATAACCATATTATTCTATATCGTAATAATTAATTTTTCATTGTAAAACTTTATATTGGAGTAAAGTTTCTGAAGATTTATTCCTCACAGACTCGACAGACATCTTAGTAGTAAGAAATCCTAATATTGTCATTCGCTCTGATAAGGTTGTGTGTAAAGCTCCTCTTTTGAAAAGATGTAGTCTATTAAAGAGGTGGTATTCTGCTCATTTTCAGGTTCAAAATCTTAATTAGGGGTTGTACCAGAACAGGTTTACATTTCAAAAAACACCATATTTTTCTCATCCTGCACATTGCTGCAGCTCCTCTTTTCACCCTGTGTTGTACGCTCCGCTCTTGAGCTACAGAGTGATGCATCTTACTTGTACAAAATCTTTGCTGGGAGTTGCACATGCGCAGTTCCCAGGTAAGGACTACTAGCCAATCAGAAGCAGAGAAGGGCGGGGCGTAAGAAACAAGGTAGAGTGATCCAAATTAAAGTCTTCAGACTGCGACCGAAACCTAGCAGATGGTATAAGTTACTCACAAGTCCACAACCACACAACATCATTGTTCCACATCTTACCATAAAGCACTTCAAAAATCACCATATTTCAACTCAATTTTACATCAAAATTGGCCAAACAATTTGAACGTTTGCTCAGTAGCTTTCACATCAGGTGTAACATTAGCATTATAGCTATAACTTTAGCTGTGTTGGCCAACGTTTACAGCAACTCCGCACTTGAACAGTCTGAAGTTACATTGCCGTGTTTATTTTAAATATAATTCACAACCGATAAAGCATACTTACAGGTTGTGATTGTGAATTTCCAGGCCCAAACAGAGTCGGAGTTGCATCATCTTTTAGAACTAAACGTTGCCGGTGTTCTGACGATCTATGCTGCCTTCACCGAAAAATGCTACCATAGCGCAAATCGATAGACTCGACTCTACTCAGCCCTGCTCCGTTTTCGTTACAGATAGTACCCAGAGATAGTACGTAGCTTGTCGTCATACGTCGACGTAATGTTCAATGCGACACACACACCAGCGATCCACACAGCTTTCTCTTTCATAAGTTAAAACATTTCAACATTCCTCAGAATGGAAAGACAGATAAGCGGTATGAAAAGCTTCCAGCTGTGTTTTCCTCTGCCGTTGTTGCTGCAGCGGTCTGTGTGACGGCGGGACCAGAGGGCTCTGTGAGCGGGCGGCTGGCCGGCCTCACGCGCTCCTCCCGCTTCTTATGGTGTATAATGAAAGTGCTGCATGGGATGTTAAAGATGATTTGAAAAGATAAAAACTAAACTGACATTTTTGTCAGAAACACTGTTTTTAACAAAACTTTAATACAGAGAAGAAAATGATTTGCCTTAGAAACAAGAGAAAAGAATAATAAATTATTTTTGTCTAAGAAAAAATTAAAGCAGCAGGATTAAAACTTTGTAGGCCTGTATCATTTTTGTGCACTTTTGGATGGGTTGTTTTGGATCTGCATTTCCTCAGAGCTCTGACTGGATTTGTGTTGATCATCATGAACCTCTGGTACCTCTGAGTAACTGGAGATACTTCCACCCGAAACGAGTACACAGGTCTTTATTTTAGTAGATTATTCCCATACAAACGCATCTTCTGCTTTCTTATAGCATGAGTACTTAGGCTATAATAAAACATAGAATCAACTCTGGAAAGGCAGCCTAGTTGTGATATGACGATATGATGTGACATAAGGGCAGCCCTGCTAGTAGTTTGTGTTCTTTTTTAAACACCACCATGTCCCTTAATCATCAACATATCTGTAATTTCACAGCATTTAAGGGCTCTTTTCTCCATCTCAGCTCTGCCTTTTCTCTTTCTCTCGTTCTCCTGTGCATTTTTTCTACGCACACTCGCGCACTGACTGACCGCTGTGTTGATGTGTGTATGCATGCAATCAATTGCACGTGATGACAGAGATCATGCCATCAGGTTAAAACAAGAAGGGAGGCCGACGGTCTACGGTCTGAGTGACTGTGGCTGCCCTGTGACAGATTCAACTTTAATGGGCCTAATCTCGTTTGACAAAAGTCTGGATGTCATATTTGACGCGCCTCGAGCGGCGGCACTGCAGGAGAGAGTGAGACGCGCCTGTTGTGTGGATTCTCCTGCTATTAAAAAAGCTTGCTATCGCTGCCGCTGGTCAAGTTGTATTACAAAAAAAAAACTGGTAATATTAAGTGGGGTTTTTTATAATTCGCCAACACCAGACAAACAATCCATCAGTAAATGAGAAACGTTATTTTCTCAGGCAGTATGCAAACTGGTCATTGGTCAAGCCGAAGTGTAGAAAGCACGTAACAACCCGCCCTTAACGTTGCGTATAATGTATGTTATTATCAGAATAATGCGCTCATTAAATAGCAGTGAAAGTAACGCAAAAGTAGTGTAAAGCCTTACAATTCAGAGACCGTAATATTGTAATATAAATAATTACTCTCAAATGACAGTAACTAGTATAATATC